TGAAATGGCAATAATATAGAAAACATGTTGTTGACAGTAAAAATATAAGATATGACACAATTTCTCTATTAAAAAATTATATGTATTTCTCAAGTCAATATATTTGGATAGCTTAATTTACGTTTTCCTAACACATAACTCTTTATATTCATAGACACGATGAACTCATAGTTATTTCCATATTTTCTAAGTCGGCGTTAGGAATATTTTCGGAAAAATAATCATCTACAACCATGGATGAAGATCGTTTGGAAACAACAAACTCAACCAAAAGAAACACTTTCTACTTATGATTTCCTACGATTACTATGAAAATGGTTATTTTATTTGAAGATTAAGATTTGCCAANCACATGTCTTTGAATTTTTCTTGTGTAGCTACAATATAAGTTTTGGGGAAGTAACTTTAAAGTTTCGCAGAGAGNAAGATGAAGAAGAGAGGTTATATTTTGTGAAAATGAAACGTTTGGAAGTAGAGATTGACTCTTAGTTTTCTTTGGACATGTGTCACGTAGAGGGAGAGGGTTCCTTCTTCTTTCATATATATGAAAAAATAATCATCTACAACCATGGATGAAGATCGTCTGGAAACAACAAACTCAACCAAAAGAAACACTTTATACTTATGATTTTCTACGATTACTATAAAATTGTTTATTTTATTTGAAGATTAAGATTTGTCAATCACATGTCTTTGAATTTTTCTTGTGTAGGTGCAATATAAGATTTTGGGAAGTAACTTTAAAGCTTCGAAGAGAGAAAGATGAAGAGGAGAGGTTATATTTTGTGAAAATGAAACGTTTGGAAATAGAGATTGACTCTTGATTTTCTTTGGACACGTGTCACATAGAGGGAGAGGGTTATTCTCCTTTCATATATATGATTCAGTAAATTTTGCAATTCAACAAATTCCGTAATTCAGCAGAAATTATGTGGTTACCATTTACACCCATCAAGTTTAGAATTTTAAGATTTAGACTCTAAAAATTTATANTTAGTGAC